TCATCAGAGGGGATTGTTGAGAGACCAAAAACAGGTTTTGGGCACATTATACGATTACAACAAAATAACTAAAATCGTAATTCTTGGTTTAAATATGAAATTTTGTCTAAATTTGAAATTAAAATGTCTGTAAAAAATAAGTGTGTTTATATATTTTTTAGATTTTTTGGTTACAGTATGAATTATTTAAGAGAATCTTTGTTTTAAATTTTCAACTCTTAGTTATAAAAACTGAACATTTTATAATTTTTTAATTCCAACGATTGATAATTTTCGAGATTTTGATAAATTTTGTCAAAATTCTAACTTTAAATGGTTATAAAAAAAAAATCGTGCATATGTATTTTTAATATTTTTCAACTGATATTGTAACAATATATCAGGAGCCTTGTATTAAATTTTTACACTTTTTGGCCCAACAGATAAAACTTTATTGATATTTATAGAAAAAAAACTAAAAAAAATGAAAAATGAAAATGTCCCTAAACAGTTCAAAATAAATCAAAATATTTTGAAAATGTTATCGTGTATAGAAAATGCAAATATAAACAACCAGTGAAAATTTCATGTATCTACAGTTATTCGTTTTTGAATTACAACAAAATAAGGAAATCGCTACATGAGAAATCGAGTGAAAATCCAATGTTGTAAAAATTTGAATTTCAAACGCTCATAAAAACTTAATTTGACTGTCCGGTAGAGATTTTTTTATTGATAAAGGTAGATAATCTTATAAGGAATCTTGTGTTTTATTTTCAAATCTTAGATTTAAAAAGAAAAATTTTTACGAATTCTTAACTCAAAATAATTTGATAATTTTCGTGATTTTTCCATATTTTGTCAATTTTTGAACTTTAAATGCTTATAAAAATAAATTGTGACTAAGGATTTTTAATATTTTTCATCTGCCTTTGAAACAACATATTAGGAGCCTTCTATTAAATTTTCAAGCTTTCGCAACCAACAAATAAAATTTTATTGATATTTCTAGAAAAAAAACTAAAAAAAAATGAAAAATGAAAATGTCCCTAAACAGTTCAAAATAAATCAAAATATTTTGAAAATGTTATCGTGTATAGAAAATGCAAATATAAACAACCAGTGAAAATTTCATGTATTTACGTTCATTTGTTTTAGAGTTACACCAATAACCAAAATCGATTTTTTGGAAAACCAATTTTGCGTAAAAATTCCCGTTTTTCCTTAATTTTTATGTTGTTTTTCCCGGCGCTTGTGAAAACTACTGGAAAATGTTTACTTTTGACCCCCCAAAGTACCAACTAGATTCACTTTCCTATCAGAAAAGGTACTATTGAAGAAAATCGAAGCACTTTTACTGTCCCAAAACGTGATGACAGACACAAAAAAAAATATAAAAATATAAAAATATAAAAACACACATCATTGTAAAACCAATACATTCATCGCTCCGCTCAGAATCTAAAACGTGAGTATACAATGTAATATTACTGTTAATTGTTAAAAATATTGTATTATTAATTTAATTGGAGGCTTGGTATAACTGGTCAAGTATTTTCAGGTACCGATAGTAGAGAAGCGAAGTGAGCTAGAAGTAAGTTTTTAACAGGAACATTTTTTCTCAACAAACAATTTTCTAAGTTTGTCCTTTATGTTTTTTTCAGATGTTCAATAAATTGATGACTTCAAAACATGACTATTTTATTTACAACTAGCTGATCCCGTGCACTTCGTCGCCCGTTAAATGGATCAACTCAATACTACCTACTCAAACTTTGTTCAATTCATTAACGTGTATGGTGTTCAAAATTTATCTTATCTTTTCCGTTGCCCTGAATAAAAATTCTGAATCGCGGCAGTACATTATCAGGTAGGCAATCTACCTGCGGTAGATCGCGGACCCCGTGCTGTTTGTACGGAAGTGTATGATTTAACTCTAAAGTATCAAAGTTATACCAAGTTTATTTTGATGTAATACTGTGGATTAATATAATAAATTTGGTTGCTCGTAAAAAATCGCAACTCTTAAAAAAATTATGATTGTTGAACTCCTTTTGGGTGTAATTTTCTGCGGTAAGTGCAACTCTGCCACCCTGGTAAGCATTGTTCAATAATTCGATTTGATGCAAGCTTGTACCTGATCTGCCCGAATAACCAATGGCAACCAATAAATAAATGCTAATTTCTAATGTAGACTGTAACCAATGGCAACTATAAATAAATAAAAATAAAATTTCCAATTTCTATCGTGAATCTCAATGTCCCTGTTTCAGCACCTATTTAAAATGCGAATTTTGGCAAATCCTTTCTTAGCGCACGTCTATATTATAATAGCTATCTGTATGCCAAATTTCAGCCAGATCCGTCCAATGGTTTGAGCTGTGCGTTGATAGCAGTCAATCAGCTTACTGTTTTTTATATACAGATATGGTTGCCATGGTAATATGGACCCACACACACACACACACACACACACACTGACATACATTCATTTTTATATATATAGATTGATATGAAATCTTGGTAACCTTAGTAACCATGGCAACCTTGGTAACCATGGTAACATGGACACACAGACACACAGACACACTGACACACTGACATACATTCATTTTTATATATTACTAGCTGATCCCGTGCACTTCGTTGCCCAACTCTATATGAATAATATGTTTTTTTTATAAAATAACGGTTACCATAACAACAATTTTAAACCAATGGGCAATGGCAACCAATAATTATTATTATTATATCTTCAAAACCCACATCAACCATTTATAAACAAAAATTTCCATCGGAAATCTCAAAATCCCTGTTTGAGCACCTCATCCCAGGGTTGGTCCTCTCCCTTTTTAAATTAGCCTATCTTCTGCCCAGAGGTCTAACCTATCTCTGTACCAAATGATCCCGTGCATTTCGTTGCCCGGCAACTAATAATGATCCCGTGCACTTCGTTGCCGGCAACCAATAATAATTATTATTATAATAGCTTCAAAACCATTGCAACCATTTATAAACAAAAATGTCCATAGGAAATCTCGAAATCCCTGTTTGAGCACCTCCCGGGGTTGGTCATTTCCTTTTTTAAATTAGCCTATATCTTCTGCACAGAGGTCGAATTTATCTATATATATAAAAATATCTGATCCCGTGCTCTTCATTGCCCATTGAAATTGCCAACTCCATATATGAATAATATGTTTTACACATCACCATGGCAACCATTTATATACAAAACATTCCATCGGATATTTCAAAATAATATATAATTGGTTGCCATGGTAATATGGACACACAGACACACACACTGACATACATTCATTTTTATATATATAGATATAGATTATATTTTATTTTCCATTTCCTTTCCAACTATATTTTTAAATGACTATGTGTGTACTGCGCTTACGGTCTGAATGGTTTTTTTTAATTTATATTTGTTACCAATACATATAGTTCATACTATTACAACACCATAAATTATATGTGTGGTGTGTGGATCAAATAAGATAATAGTTATAAGGGTTCTAAGGATGTCAGTGAAATTAATGAACTGAGGTAGGATGTCTAAAGTGTGTAACAAATAAAGAAATACGCAATCAGTACGACGTCACTAAAATATTTTAGAATCAGTAGACTATAATGAGTAAAACAATTGTATGAATATTGACTAATAATAGAATATAATTTACACAACTATTAAATATTGTTTAAAAGTTTTGACATAATAATACCTATAATATGTATTAAATATAGTTAACAGAAATTTGTACAGTGACATTACTCCACTAAAATAAATAAATTAGCAGTCCTACAAGGTCACTATAATATTAGTTCAGCGGTGGCTGTTGTGGAGAACAGACGTGTTTGTGTGTCGCTCCCGCGAAAATCCGTTTTTTCAGTGGAAATAGTCAACCGTTTTTTGCAAATCAGGTACCAATCGACGCAGATTTCAACTCTGAAGAGTTTGGTACAGTCCGCGCGAAGATCGGTTGAGTTTTCACCGTGAAACCTCAATTCTTGTGTCCCGCACGTGCATTGAGCTACTGTGTTACGCATTTCTCGTTTCTTCCGATAAAAAGTGCGCGCTCGGGCCGGTGTCGATTTCGAGTCGGCCTGATTAAGACCCACCGAACCCTCCCGAAGGGCTAGGTGCATCGCGCGCCCCCCTCGGACCCCCAGGGGCCGAGTGGATCACAGTCCAGGTCTTAGTGCCGCCGGCGAGTTTGCGGCCGAAGCACGAGTGCTACGTCCGCGCGCAGTGGCTCCAAAGACGCGGCTCGAGGAGACCTATCCACGGACACCGCGTCCGACAAAGTCCGACGTAACTCGGGTGAGTAATTTCATTTTTACTTTTCCCCTATGATATTACACGGCCGCCCAAAGCCGCCCGAGTGAAAACGGAATTCCCGCACAAACAGCTGTTTTCGCCGCGGAACAGCTGTCGTCACGCGACCGACGACGGGGAACAGTCCGCACGGTGTGAAGAACCGTCGCGACCAAATCGAAGGTGTCAAGTTGTCCCAGGCGGGATTTTTAAAATTTCCCTCCTACACGGAGGTTGACGCTTTTGCACATAACTCCGCAAATAATTGTCGGAGAGAAGTGGGGCAAACGGCAAAGCCGTTCCCCAGGGGAAACGCTTATATTTCCCTCATCGGGAACATAAGCCCCCTCCCCCCCAAAAGGGTTTTTTGCTGATATCTCGGCCGGATTTGGTCGGAGAGCTTCGGGAGAAAAAATTTGCCCTCCCAAAGCCCTCTGTCCTACCACGACCGCACCGGATACGATCCCGAAGACCGGGACCCCCTACCCCCACCAGGAGCGGAGTTAGGGGAAAAGATAGGGACAGTGAGGTAGCGATCTGCGTTGCGGGGCAAGGGGCTGATACCTTCGGATTCGGCCCACTGCTGCTACGCGGCTTTTTACTGTTACGCGCAACTGAGTCAAGGCGGGGCCGCGACACCAGCGAAGGGGGAACCTGACCCCCCCTCGCCATACAACCCATGTCGGGTACTAGTATGGACCCTATCAAGTCCTCGCTTGCGGACAAACTCATCGCCAGCAGCAACAAGGCCCAGATGACTCAGCCAGTGACGGAAACGTCGGAGGATCGTCTACGCGAGATGGTCGACGCGGCGGAAAGCACGGAAAAGGAGTGGTTTGACAGAGTGGGCAGAAGGCTGAACACCGCACTCGAAGCCGTAAGGGAAGCTAAGAATGTGGCGAAACCCGTGCAAACGGCACTCGCTGAAGCCATGAACGCTTTCAACCAAGCGAGAAGCGCACGAAAACAGCGCCAGAACGTGGTGGAGAAGCTAAAGGACGTAGCGAGCAACGCGGGGCCCCACGCGTCAACCACGGGTGATGTACAGGCCGATGACGGTAGCATAAACTTGACAAAAGAATTCAATTCGCTGAGGGACGAAGTCGGTGAACTCAGCAAGGTGGTGAGAGAACTAGTTGACAAAAAGACTAGTAAAGAACCCACCATCCAGGAAAGCCAGCCCGGAACATGGACAGATGTGGTCAAGCGAAACCGAAAGGCGAAACCCGTGCCCACCGGGAAGTCCGACGATCGTGCACCCGCAATCAAGAACGTAACCGCCCGGCCTCGGGTGAGAACGCGCCCTTCAGCGATCCTCGTAACCGTCGGGGCTGAGGAGTTCCCGGAGCTGTCCAAGAAAATTCGCGGCGGGGTGAACCACGATGTCATTGGAAATAGTGTGGTAGGCATGCGTCAGGCAAAATCGGGGGGCCTAATCATTGAAGTCCGCGGCGATCAAGCGCGGTTTGAAGCGGTTTGAAGCTCTGCGGGCTCTGAAGTGAGCGTACGTGCGCTCCAGCAAAAAGTCATGGTGGAGGTCAGTGACCTTGATCAGTGGTCAACTGCCGACGAGGTTACTGAGGCTACAGCCTCTGCCTCCGGCATTCCACCGGACCAAATCAAAGTTTTTAATCTCAGGAAGAGATACGGGGGCTCTCAGTCGGCGTTGGTATCGCTACCGGTTGGACCCTCACGTGTGCTACTGAACTCCGGGCGGCTCCGTGTTGGCATGATAAGCTGCCGAGTCAGGTTGGCGGACCAAAAACTAAGATGTTTTCGCTGCTTCTGTCCCGGGCACACAGCGAAGGAGTGCTCCGGCACTGACAGAACGCAATGCTGCAGACGCTGCGGCGAGCAAGGTCATAGGGTAGCTACCTGCAGCGCGACAGAAACCGCAGTTAGTGCTTTTGCCAAGTCCCTGGCGGCGGAGGTCCCAGCCCAGAAATGAGCGCGGCCGAGGGGTGCGGAGTTATTCAAGTCAACTTGAACAACAGTTGGATGGCCCAGCAGCTTCTGCTGCAGACTATGGCAGAACGCAGATTGAGCATCGCAGTTCTGTCAGAACACAACCGGCCGATGGGTGACTCTGATCACTGGGCAGAAAGCCTGGACAGGAAATGCGCCGTGTTTGTTCCGAACTCCTCGGACTTGACCCTGGACGAGCAAGGAGCGGGCGCAGGCTTCGTCTGGGTGAGGCTGGGCGATGTACTACATTACAGCTGCTACTGCACTCCGAACTGCACGATCCAAGAGTACGACCTGTTCCTGGGCGGACTGGAACTTTCGATCGCGCAGCAGCCAAGAACACCTGGGAACCTGGTTGTTGCAGGGGACTTTAACTCTCACTCCCCTGAGTGGGGCTCAGCGAGGCTAGACAACAGATTATCCATGCTGTCGGATTTCGCCACGTCGCTGGGTCTAACTTTATGCAATGTCGGCTCAAGGCCCACCTTTAGACGGGTAAACGCAGCATCAATCATTGACGTCACGATGGAACGCTTTCCCTCCCGCGGCCGTCAACTAGTCACTGGCTGGTCGGTACTGGAGGACACCTACTCGGCAAGCGATCACTTGTACATCGAATATCACGTTTCCCTGCGAGCAGCGCAAGAATCCACGCGCCAGACAACGATAAACAGGGCTCCGGGCTGGTCAATAAAAAAGTTCAATCGTGCTGCGGCTGAATTGTTCTCCGAATTGTCTGGTCCGTCGAGACCACTGTCATCTGCAGCACCCGCCTCGGAACACGTAACGCGTTTAGGGGCCTTACTCTCCGCCACTTGTGACGCCTCAATGCCGCCTAGGTCGACGTTCGAAGCTAGGAGAGCCGTCCATTGGTGGAGCGATGACATCGCCGCGCTTCGCAGGACCGCAATTGCCGCGAGGAGAGCGTACCAGCGCGCCGGCCGCAGATCGGGGAGGGGAGGCCGAGCTGGAAACCTACAAGAAAGCGCGATCTGACCTGAGAACGGAGATCCGCAAGGCACAAGAGAGAAGCTGGTCGGAGCTGTGCCGTTCAGTAGACAATGATCCCTGGGGAGTCCCCTACAGGCTGGTCACCAAGAGATTAGGCCGCCGATCACCGGCAATGGACCATGCGGTGAGAGTAAACGTGGCTCGTGGTTTATTCCCTCTATCACCGAGGACAGATTGGGAAAGTATACAAGCAGTGGGTGGTGAGACGGCTCTACCGGTCATATTTCCCGAGGCGCTGCCAGGTATACCACTGTTCACCACTGACGAAGTGGCTAGGACTGTCAGAAAACTGCCGGCGGGAAAGGCACCTGGTCCTGACCTCATTCCCAACGAGATTATCAGAACAACCTTCGAAAAGTTCCCGGAAGTGTTTGTGGACTGCTATAACGCCTGCCTCTCTGAGGGGTCTTTTCCCACCCCATGGAAGTGCGCCAAGCTGGTGTTACTGCACAAGGGCAAAGGGAAACCGAGGAACGAGCCTTCGAGCTACCGCCCAATCAGCCTATTGGACGGCTCCGGCAAGGTGCTAGAGAGGTTGCTCCTGGAGAGGCTAATCCCTCACATTGACAGCGTGGGTGCGTTAAGCGATCTCCAATTCGGCTTCAGGCGATCGAGATCCACCGTTGACGCTATCCACCAAGTCCTGAACGTGGCCAAAGCTGCGGGCAGCGGCCCAGTCCAAAATAGAGACCTGTGTGTCTTAGTGACGATTGACGTGAAGAATGCTTTCAACACAGCTCCGTGGCGACTAATCGACGCGGGACTCCGGGCTACTTGCTAAACATCCTCAGGTCGTACATGGAGAACAGAGAACTGTTAATCGGGGACAACGACTGCCTCCCCGTCACCTGTGGCGTTCCACAGGGCTCGGTGCTGGGCCCAACATTGTGGAACCTGTTTTATGATGGAGTGCTCAGGCTCCCAGTGCCTGCAGGAGTCAAACTTGTCGCATTCGCGGACGATGTGGCGGTGGTGGCGGTGGCCCACAACGCGGAGCTGATCGAGCAATTGGTGAACCCTGTCCTCTGCACGATCTGCGAGTGGATGACGGAGAATCACCTACGACTCGCCCCCGAAAAATCGGAATGTGTGGTTCTCACGAAGAAGCGCTCTTATCGGGATCCAGTGTTGCACATTGATGGGTGCCCGGTAGTCGTCAAGAGGTCGGTAAGGTACCTAGGCGTCCAGTTGGACACCCGCCTATCCTTCGGCGTACACGTGGAATCGGTGACAACTGGCGCGAGGAGAGCCGCCTCAGCGCTTGGCAGACTGATGCCGAATGTAGGTGGTCCAGCCCAGTGCAAGCGCAGCCTGCTAATGAGCGTGGTGCACAGCCGTCTGCTGTACGGCTCCGATGTTTGGGCAGACGAGGTGCAGCACGTGGCCAAGTTCAGGAACCTGTTACTCCAGAGCCAGAGGTGCGCTGCCCTCAGAGTCGCGAGATGTTTCAGAACTGTCTCCGACATGGCCGCTCTTGTCCTGGCAAGGATGCCGCCAGTCACTCTGCAGGCGGTCGTGCGAAAGCGTGCCACCGCTCACAGGCACGAAGGTGCGGTCTTGACAAACCAACAGAAGGAGGACCTCGTAATCGGTGAATGGCAGACGATGTGGGATGTCTCCACCAAAGCTGCATGGACGAAATCGCTCATCCCAGATCTGCGTAGATGGTGGAGGCATGGACCGAGGGAAGTAAGCTACCACATGGCCCAAGCCCTAACGGGTCATGGCTGCTTTCAGAGCTATCTGTGGCGTAGGAAGAAAACTGAGAACCCAGGGTGCGTTCACTGCCCGGCCGTGTTCGACGATGCAGAACACACTCTATTCGTTTGTCCATTCTGGGATGCAGCAAGAACGGAAGTTGCAGCGGCGCTTAGGAACCCAGTTGGTCCAGAAGACGTTCTATACCTCCTGTGCGGCCCTGACCCCCAAGAGCTTCCAGAGGATCCGTCCCTGCGGAGAAGGTTAACTACGGCATCACTGAGGCATGGGGAACTTTTTCATCAGATGGTGGAGTCCATTCTATCCGAGAAGGAAGAACTGGAGAGACAGCGCCAGCGTCAAATGCGTCTTCATAACCATTAGTTAAGTTTATTTGTTGTGGGCTGAAACGGCCAACCAGGGTGGTTAGAGGCCCCCAAGTTTTTGTATTTAAATAACGTTTATATCTTGTTGTGTTGATAACTGTTGTGGGCTGAAACGGCCGATCAAGGTTGTTAGAGCCCCCAGGTATTGTAATTTTAAAATATTGTTATATTTGTTGTGAAGTATTTATTGAAATAAATGATGTGGTCAGGGAGGCAGTAATGGGGAAACCTTTTTCCCTCCCTGGCTGCGATTCAATCGGAAAAAAAAAAAAAAAAAAAAAAAAAAAAAGGTCACTATAATATTGAATGATACTTGAAAAAGTTTGACAGAAAAAAAGTAAATAATATGTGTTTCCGTCTCATCTGAGAGTTACTGTTCACAGCAATTGACCCAGTGACAAAATCAATTGTATCAATTCACGGTGACGTAGTATGTAGTAGCACACTACATCATATTATAATTATTAGTGAATAAAATAGTTTCATCAATGGTGTTTTAATATGTAAAAAACTGTAATAATAATAAGAAAAAAATAATCAACAGCAATTCGCAGTGTCGTAGTGTATACAGAATGTTGTATTACACATTATCTTATAAAATATATTATTATAATGAACCGAAGAAGAAAGGAACACAGCTATTAAATGGTAGGTATTAAAACAGAAAATACCTACAACAGCCGTTTGAACACTGCCATAAAAATGCAAATAACATAATAATATGCAGTATCTTATCATGTATATTATACCTAGTACCTATCAATGCATTGTACAGTATGAAATGTACAGTATGAATGGCTTTTTAAATCGTTATTAGTTATTCATACTATTACGGTTAAATGTTGTGCTTGCATCATTTGTTGTCAAAACAAAGTATTTAATTAAGTAATTTACTCTTTTTGAGGGGATCCATTCCCTGACCCAAGATATGTGTGTGAATTTTAATAAATCTGTTGAAATATACAATTAATATGTAGTATATGTAGTCAGCCTTGACACGTGTGTACAATATAGTAACTAGTTATGTACGAGCATAAGACTCACTCTCTTTACGGATGTAACATGACCTCGGTCGTGCATATATATATAGGGCCTTTGATGTATGTAATATTCACTTGCACAGGCGTCGTTGTACAGAGCGTATACTATGTGTGTGTACTGTCACAGTTTAATTGTCCAGTTGTACGTTATTATATATTATACTTATACATAATCATATTGTCGTGTTATTACTTATTATATTAATGCTAACATCATTAGTCCGTCAAGCTTCACTTTCAACAGGTTATGGGCCCAGTCAATAACCAAGACAAACAGTCTAGTGGATTCGTGATCGAAGTATTTTTAAATTTGTATTAACGCAGAAAACTACAACCAGTCGGAGATATCCTGGACTTCGGAAAACGGCGGAACAGTGTAC